ACACACACACACACACACACACACACACACACACACACACACACACACACACACACACAGACACACACAGATACGCGCGCACAGGCACACGCACACGCACACGCACACGCACACGCACACACACACACACACACACACGCACACATGCACACGCACAGGGGGGCACTTGGTTGCTCACTCCTCCGTCTCTCCCTCTCGCAGTTTGTGTATTCTCACTGTCTCTGTTTGGTGCGTTGGCTGTTTTGCGTCATGATCATCGGTTGTGTCGCACAGTCAAGTCAATGAAGAGGATGAATTCAGGCAAGCTGCGGCCCGAGCTTCTAGGGGAGCCACGGAAGCCTCAGAAACCTACTGTACAGGAACTCGAGAAGCAGACAACCCTCAATCATCTGGAGGTGAGCATGGCTCTTCAGAAATTCAGGATTTATTCAGCATCTGGAGGTGCGGTCTTGAATTTCATGGCATGATGGATGAAAATGCCAGGTTGTCAAACGACTCTTCTATTATTTTCTATTGGTATATACTATATATCGCTGTGCGAGGACTGAGCCCCCGCAAAGGCCCTTTTCGGGCATGCAAACATTCTGGGCTCAGGCCCCCAGCAAGCCTCTTGCCTGCCTAAGTGAAGGCGGGCCTGAAAATTATCCACGTGAGGCCTATTTTGGACATTTTTCGTATGTCGGGTACCAGACAGTTGCAGCGCGCCAGTTGGTTACAGAGCGACGCGAGCCTTGCATGGTACAGTTGAGCCCAGGGCTCATTCGGTCAAGGCCCTGGGAACAGGCATCCAGAGGCTGACAAGTCATGTAGCGGCCGCGGACCAATGAGAAAGCAGCACCGTCCTGACACACAGGCCGCGAGCCAATGAGATCGCAGGAAACACTTGGAGCCTAGACAACGAGGGCACTGGACGCTGCGGGCCCTTGTACCTGTCTGAGGGGCCCAGGACGCAGACACTTTGGCCCAACACGAAGCTACTGGGCCCCAGCCCAGCAGGCCAAACAGAGGCCGAAGCAGGGCGCACTTTCCATAAAGGAAAGTGCCTGCCCCAGCCTCAGGCATTCTGGCCTGCCGTCGCTGCCGAGGCATTGAGGCCACGCTGGTGCTGTGTAGCGTGAGCGCTGTTTAGCGTTGGCAGGCTGGGGCGCACGCGGGCGCTTAGAGGTGAGAGGGCGCTGCGGTGGCAGCAGGCGCATGGTGTCCATAGCCAGGCTGCGCGTGCAGTGGCTGGTGATGGTGATGGTGATGGTGATGGTGATGGTGATGGCGATGGTGATGGTGGTCTTTGGGTAGGAGGCGCATGGTGATGGTGATGGTGATGGTGATGGTGATGGTGATGGTGATGGTGATGGTGGTCTTTGGGTAGGAGGCGCATGGTGATGGTGATGGTGATGGTGATGGTGATGGTGATGGTGATCGGGAAACAGGGAGTGATGAGGAGAGGAGAGAGAACGTACCTGGTGTATGCTGGCGGTCTGCAGTGGTGATGACGTCATGTACATTGGTCTTCAACTTCGATGTGCTCTTGTTGCATGAACGTAGATAGGCTAGGTAGGCCAAGTAATATAGGCTGGGCGCTGGGCGCCAGACAGTAGGAGCGACACCGGATACTATGTTGGTGTGGCCAGAGAGCGTCGGCATTGACGTTCAGGTTCATTGTATTGCTCTGTATTTGGATGGTATCTTTGTGCACCTTGCTCTCTGCTTGGTACATGACTATCTGGGCTACTTCGTGATTTTGCAATTTGGATTTCTGTCTATCGCTCTGTCTCGTATTCCTTGCACCTGAGTGAACGAATTGGTATGCATTTGTTGCTGTTCAGTCACCAGTGAGTGAGGACCTCAAAACAACAGACGAAAGAACATCCTTGTTATTCCACCGAAATAGTACACACTACTATGCGGTCATTGTCTCTTGCGTAGAATGATCATGTCTGTCAATCTTCTCAGCGGCTGTTACACATTGAGGGGGGCCGGAAAGACGGCATTAATGTTCTTGGGAAATTTGTCTGCAAAATTTGTGCTGCACAGGCTGAGAGAAAGGAACAGGACAGGGGCCTTGACGACTTGAGCGATTTTCTGAAGGATTTGAAGGGATTAAGCCTCGAAATCGGTGATGAGCTTAGCAGGTGAGTTGGCTCTGTCTCGTTGATCGGGTTGGAGAAAGTCTGACTGACATACCAGTACTCTCACACACACACACACACACACACACACACACACACA